GTGATTTTTTTTCATGTACAGCATTAATCATGCTGAGGTACATTTTATATACTAATTTGTTGAGAGTTGTAGTTTTGTTTTGTTTTTAATTTTTAATCATGAAAGCATGGTAAAAACTTGTTTGTTTTTGTTGATTTACTGCAGTGATTTCATGGGTTTTGTTCTCCATTGCATCGAAATTATATTTACTGATTTGTGTTATACTATCTCTTTATGAGTGTAATAAATCCCACTTGGTTATGTAGTACAAACTTTTTTGTCATTTCATACATGTATATAATAAATTTTGATAAATCTACCTCCCCTTCTTTCCACTCCTATTCCATCCCTGCCCCCACCTCCACTTTTCCTTCCCACTTTCATGGAGTATTTTTAGTGTTTAAACAAACTGAGTTCTCTTAGCTGTGCCTGTATGTATGCAGGTGTAGAACCATCTAATGGCACAATAGCAGCCTCTTAGAGTCCATAAACTGGAGAGAATGAATTCTCCCTTCCTAACAACCATCAATTACCAATAACTTTTCAGTTAGGGGTGAGATATCATGGCCTCTCCCCATCAATATTTGCATTTGGTCTGGCTTGATCTTGTGTACATTTTGTGCATGCAGTGATGGCAAATATGGATCATATATAAAATGATGAAATCATGTTCAGAAAATGTTTCACTGTAAATGTCCACTACTCCATGTACTCCTTAAGTTTAATTTGCCAACAATTTTTGACAATGTTTTCTTCTATGCTCATCAGGGATACTGTTGTAAGGTTTTCTTTTGTTCCTTTACCAGATTTTAGGACAGCATTATTCTGACATTGGAGAAAGAGTATAGCGAAATACCTTCCTTTTACATTTTTTGAATAATTTGTTTAATTCTTTTGTAATACATTATGAAGCAATCGTGAAAGTACTGGCTATTAAACTTTTCTTTGAAGGGAGATTTTTAATTACTCCTTCAACCTCTTTAAACAATATTGCTCTCTTTAGCTTTCCCATTTCTTCTTACCATAATATTGATAGTATGTGTATTTCAGGGGATTTATTCATTTTTCCTGGGCTTTTCTATTTACTATAGCATAAATTTTCGATAATTTCTTCTGAGCCTCTGCATTTCTTTGATAGCAGTTATAATGTCTTCTTATTCAAAATTTAATTCTGAAGTTTTGCTCTATTTTCCCTGCTACTTTAGCTGAGAGTTCATCCATTTTGTTTTTCTTTTTCAAAAACCAACTTTTATTTAATTTAAGTCACTATTATTTTTATTTTACCTCAGATTAATGTTTATTTATGCTCCAATCTTTATTTTGTTTTTCATTTTGCTAGCTCAGTATTTGGCCCATCTTGCCTTTTTAAGTCCTTGAGATACACTATTATGTTGTTTGTTTGAAATGTCTGTGGTTCGGGTGTATAAAGTTTGATCTTTTTGTGGTGCTGGGGATCTAACTGAGGCCCTCACAGATGCTGGATAAATGTTCTTTCCCTGCAACACAACTGCAACTTTAAACTCCCCTAAACACTGTTTAACTTACATCATGGGCTTTGGGCTGTGGGATTTCCATTTGTTTTGAGAACATTTTAATCTTTACTGGACTACTTCTGCTTCCTGTAATTTGGAATATATTAATTTTGTAATGAAAACAAGTAAACAGCATTTCACATGATTATTATTTTATTTCAACATTACCTTTTTTTTTCAAATATTACTGTGGACCACAAGTAAAACAATCCTCTGACTTTGAGTAATCATAAGCATGTGAAATGTACAATGGATAAGAAAAACTCAGCTCCTCTGAAAATCTCATCTAAGCAGTGTGTAATGGGCACTTCTGTGACATTACAGATGTATTGTCCACCTTCAGCAATTGACTTGCCTTTAGCTCTGGAATAATGTTTCACATATATATGGTCACTAGCTACCAACAAAGTATGAGTCAGAAGGGTTTTTATTTTAAGCTTAATAAAAATATCTGCCCTAGTGGGGGTCGGGGGCAGAGAGGTGCCTTGGTCCTGCCTCAAGAAGATGACGGGACAGACTAGTAGACTTCCTGGGGGAGGGGGGCTTACTCTCTCTGAGAAACAGATGGTAGGTGGGGAGGAGTAGGCAGAAAGAGAGGAGAGAGAGGGAACTGGGATTTGAATGTAAAAACAAATTAATAATAATAAAACAAAAACAAAAAGGTTCTTAAAAATGTCTGCCCTAGTCATATCTACAATGTGAAAAGTGAACACTGTCTCTGTGAACTCCTTTACCCAACAGCCATCTTTATTCATCTCCAAATTTTCAGCTGTGACATGACTGGTAAATAAATACATGAGTGAGCTGAAGAAGCTTCTAGTATCTACCGAGTTTCTGAAATGCAAACATCTTTCCAATGGAAACTATGTTAATTCTTAGTGCTTGAGAACAAAGGTATTCTTAGATTACATTTGTTGAGAAATATGTTGGGTACTGCAGAGGCAAATGGGGCATACATGCTGGATCCCTTACTTGTATTTCCATGCAGATCCTGAAATACAGACAACTTCTAGAATTAAGGAAGCAAGGGCATCCAAGTATATCAGACAATAGGATTATGAACCCTAAGGTCTAAAAAGGAATATTTTTATATTGGTGGCTAAATTTTCACAACACCAAAAGTGACTGATGACACCACTGTGATGTGTAACCAATGTAAACCCAAAACTCAGTCAGTGTGGTCTGCCATTATTGGTATTCTTCCACATCCCCTTGCTTATTCATCATATATTTAAGCAATTGCTGGATACCATTTTCCTTGTGTATCCATGGGTTTATATTTGTAAACTTAAACTACTGACTGAAAGTGTTGAATAAAATCTAGAATATTCCAAAAGTAAATCTTAGGTTTGCAAAGCAGTAACCACTAGGCAAAGAACCCTTAGATGAAGTTATACATAGGTGCATGGTTCTAGAGCCCATTACTTCACAAATCGTCAGTCTCTGATGAATAGCCCTCATTCCTCATATTATGTACTACATTGTTAGCCAATCATACTTATTTCTTCTACATTTAACACAAAAGGACTCTTTTTCCCTTCATCATTATCCCTGAAACAATATAGTGTAGCAACATTCATATGCCATCTACATTGTGGTGCTATAAATATTCTTTAGATGATATAGTATATACAAGGCTGCATATATTATATGCAAACAATGCTGTTTTATATGCGATACTGGAGCATCTACAGAGTGGTAGCTGGGAGAGTCTTGAAAGAAATCCTTAATGAACAGTGAAGACTAGCTGTGCCTATTTCCATTCACTCCTCTAAGGAATATACCTGTAGATATGCTCTTTCCTTATCAGGATCTTGATGGTCCTTCTGTGAAAACCACATCCCTTTCTGTTTCCATCTCCCTCTATTCTTCTTCTAACTCATTCTTGTTCTTCACTTTAAGCATTTGTTGTAAGTAAATAATTCAAATGTTCATGTATAATAACTCACTGAATTCACATAATCTTTTACTGATGTTAAGAAAGCTAACTTGAAGAGGCTAAAGAATTTGCTCATGTTTTACAACAGCCCATCAGGGTAGGATATTAACTCAAAACATCTCTTTAAATGCTTCAGCTGCTAATCATGGCATGTGCATAATACTGTATAGATTTTAAGTTATACATTTACTTGTTTCTAAAATTTTAAGCATTCTAAGTGTGAATCAGCTCTCCTTTGTTAGGTTATGTTTTTATATTGTAAACACAGTAAGACACACCTTACAGCACACCAAGACTGATAAATCTATCGAGTTTCAGGACCTCTGGTCCTTAGAATTAATCAATTGCACTGTTTTAAGCCCTCAGCCTGAAGAAGATCACGTCACTTTCAGAAAGGCCCAGGACATCAGTGCCCTGCTACTTGATTAGGATAGTGTGGGTCCAAGGTGATGAGTAGGGGCAGAATATAATGGTGGCTAGATGATTGTGTCTGTGTACCTGCAAAGGAGACCCTAGAATTCAGTTCATCTCTTGTTCCCTGAGGGAAGATGACTTTGTCCCAGTTAGAAAAGATCTGGAACTGAGTGTGCTTCATAAGGAAACAGTCTCAGAGGCTTGCCTGAGGTTAAGGTCACAAGAAATTGAAGAGGGAAATTCCCAGTCCTTGCCCAGAAAAAAAAATGCAGCAGATTTGAGCAAAGAGAATATCTTCTCTCTAAATAAAGGAAGCATGAATGAGAGGAAAATTTGCATACATGATTAATCTTGTCTCTATATATAGCTGCCCTAGACTTGGAACCAGGTCCACAGTTTAATATGCATCTTTTACACAAGCTCTTTCCTAAGTTTCCCAAGGCATGCTCCATAACACCATACTGTCCTGAGGTGGTTTGAAACAGAATAGTGAAAATGAAGTCCAGGTGTTATGTCATAGGACCTGAAGGCAGGGAAATGCCTCATCAGCATCTACTTAAGAAAGTCCCTGCATGGGAAGCATTCAAGCTAGCAACAGAGTATAAGAAAATAGAGAGGGTTGACTAGGTTAAAAGATGGCACTATCGACACCAGTGGTCATGTGGAACTTCAGAAAAGACGATGAAGTTGTGGAGGTGGGTATAAAGGAGTAGAAATGGAGAGGAGGAAATGTAGTCCAACGATTCCAGTAGTACAGCATCAAATGACTAACAATTGACTAGTGGAGGGTCAAAGAGAGGGACAAAAATGAAGGTCTCTGGTACCCAGGTCTCTGGTAAGAGGGGCTGGGAGAGTGGGCAATGCCTTTACAAAAAAAAACCAGAAAAGTGAGATACCTTGTGTCTTCAAGGACAGGAAAATTATTGAATTAATATCTTTCAGATAATGGTTGCATATGCTTAAGGGAAAATCTAGGGGAGGCCTTATCCTCTCTGAGAAGCAGATGGGAGGCGGCCAAGAGGGGAAGTGGGTGGAGAGGGAGGAGAGGAGGGAGGGGGAATGGGGATTGGAATGTAAAACTAAATTAATAATAATAATAATAATAATAATAATAATAATAACAAAATTTTTTTCAGTTTCATCATAACACAGACTCATCTGTGCAGCCACTGGCTACAGTCCTCCATTGATGGAAATGACTAACATCAACAGATACAAGATGGCCTGAAAGAATAACATACTTGTTACTGAAAAAGTTTGCCACCTATTATATATTGTATTGTTTCAGGTCATTATATATTAAAGCTTCCTACTTTAAATTCCACAGTGATCCATTATGTGTGTGTGTGTGTGTGTGTGTGTGTGTGTGTGTGTGTATGAATTTTAAAAAGAAGCACTAATTCTTGAACCATAAGTTTACACTGTTCACTTTCAAATAATGTGATTTAGACTACAATGTTTCATAGAAGTCTAAAGGCTATATCTTAAATAGTAGAATTATCTAAGTATTGTTAATAAATACAGTGTGACTAAAAAGCAAAATTCAATTGCGTGTAATGTACTTTCAAAGAGTACCAAATGATAGCACATGGCTATTATGAATCACAGACACTGTGTCTGAAATTCCCATGTCTTCCTGCACCAGAAGAGTCTCTCTATTAGCTTGTTGCCTACTTCAGGTTCACTAGTGAGTCATTCTAATGTGAGAAATAACTGCAGACAAGGAGAACATCTCACCCTGAGATAAATATGGCACACCATAACAATTTACACTGAAAAGAATAAAATCATGTGTCTCTCAATCTAGTTTTTATGATATTCCTTAGATTCATGTATTCTTATAAAATAGAGCATTTATGTTCCTGAAATCAGTTGTAGAAATATAATTCAGTAAATATTCTCAAATAGTTCTGTATGGGTTGAGCAAGAAAGGGCTTGTCAGGGTTATTAATGGAGGAGCAAAATGAGAAAAATTTTAAACTTTTTAAACTCTTATGCAATTCCTTAGCACTAAGATTGTGAATTCACTTACAATCAGTGGGCTAACTGACTTTATTAATAATGGGACACAACATACGTAAATATTCATCCTGTAAAATCTTCCCCCCTCCCCGGGTGTTTTCTAAAATTGTTTTAGTTTTTGAGATTGTAAGATGATTACATCATTTCTCCCCTTCCCTTTCCTCCCTCCAAAACCTACCTTTCCTTACTCTCTTTTAAATTCGTGTCCTCCATTTCTCATTAACAATTATACAATTGTATGTTCATACAATATATATATATATATATATATATATATATATATATATATTCCTAAATAAATAAATACAACCTCTCAGCCTATCTTATGTTACTTGTATGTATGTTTTCTTTATTGAATAAATGCAATGATGAATAGGTAACAGTAAATAAAAACAGTAACTAAATGAATCAATACATAAAAGGAAGAATAGAGTTTGCTTTCCTTCTTCTGGTCCTTCTCATTTTCGCTTGACTTTCTTCTGTCATCAATATTTAGGGGACAAGGTAAACTCAGGGCAGTGATGACTCTAGAAAACAAACTTCTGGTTTACATTGTCAGATGTACAGTCCAACAGAAGCTGTGCTTCAAACTGACGCAGGAAACATTACCAAAGAGGACAACAGAGGTTAGAACATTCGCAAATAATTATAAACAAATGGATTGTTTACTTTGTCTGTAAAGCTCCAATTATCAAAAGCCCTTGCAAGCACCCAACCAGTGTTGCACCTGTTTCATTTCCCTGCACAAACTGCAGGGTCTGATTCTCACACACATCTCACAGCTCAAGTGTTTCCCCCTCAGGTGTTCTACCCCACCAATTTGAAAGATTGCCCTGCAGTAATGGACTTGTTAATAGATTACTATGGTAGGCTCCAGTGGTGTACTAGCACTCTGCAGAAATACATACGGGGCTTAGTAAATCAGTTGGCTGAGCCATGTTATTTTTTTCTGCATGTGGGGAAGAAGTCATTTATAGACACACACTAAACACACAAACAGGTAAGGGTGTAATTTCTCCCCAGTTTACAGAACACACTTCCTGGTGTTCAGAGTGGAGTATTATTCTTGCAGATTATTTGGAGTCACCAGAGCATGACACTGACCTAATGTAAGCACAGTTTGTTACTTGAGGAAAGAAACAAACAAGGCCAGTTTAGAGATGTCCAGGAGCAGCTAATAGTGGATCCTTGTTCCTCTAAGACCTCGAGTCCTTATTTTATTACTTCTACTGAGTTTTTTAGTGTGTTGCTTCTTGTCCTGGAGTTCACTAAACAGACCAGACTGGCTTCAAACCCCGATGATCCACCTGCTTCAGCGTTCCAAAAGTTATGATTACACAATTCTCCACTTGTTACTCTACTTTTTTTTTCACTGATGTATTTACAAAATTGTACTCTTATTTTTTAGAATACACTTTTACTTATTGAAAAATAATTCAAAGATTACAGGAATTAATAAATGAAAGAGTATAGATAACATAGTTCTTCCCACAGCTCCCCCTTGTCACCACTGCCTGGGCCACAAGCCCAGTCACTAAGAGGGACCACTCAGATCTGCCATGCGATGCTTCTTCTGTGTGGACATGGATATAGAAGGCTTTGAGGATTTCAAAACATGGCATTATTCTGTGTTTTTTTTTCTCTTGTTTTCTTTTTGTTTTGCCTTTGGGCTATTTTATCACATAGTCAAGACTGACCTCCAATTTTGCTGTGTAGCCAAAGATGAACTCAAGCCTGGGTCCCCTGCCTCTGTGTTCCAACTGTTCAGATTTCAGATGTGTGCCATCGAAGCCAATTTGTAGTGCTAGCAATGGAACCCAGATATTCATGTATGTATGCTAGGTGGACACCCTGTCAACTGAGATACATCTTAAAACTTCCATTTTACATAACCATATCTAAAGTGTACTGGTAGAAACATCTCATATTTTAAAATTATTATTTGTGTTTTGTGTGTTTACATACCCATTTGTGTGCAATAGCCCATGTATGGAGGTCAAAGGACAACTTTCTAAAACTGGTTCCTTTCTTTCCTTCCACAGTGGGTTGTAGAGTTCAAACTCAGGGCTTCATACTTGGGCAGCAAGCTCCTTTACCTGCTGAACCATCTAGCAGGCCGCACCTGAAATATCCTTTCATGTGTGTAAAGTGATATCAATAGCCAATTCTTTCTGAAGCATATTTTACAGTGTTTCTAACTCCAAAATTCTGCATGTATATGACAGTTAACAGCTTCCTGTGTATAGGCTGGCCCAGGGCTCCTAGCAACATCTGGACAATATTTATCTTCCAAACACTGTTACATGTGCTTTCTTTGCTTGGTTCTCATAGTAAGTATTTGAATTAAGATTATTGCTATATCATTTTTGGAATCCTTTTCCTTAAGAGACAAAGGGGATAAAATGATATTAACTATCAAATGACAGTCACGTTTCAAACTTACACTACCTAGCTCCAAAACACAAAGGCGATCACTGCACTGAACTGTGGCTTGAATGTGAAGTGTCTCCAGCGGTTGAATGTGTTAAAAATACTTGGTGCCTAGCTGCTGGTGCGGTCTAGGGAAGTGGTGGAACCACTGGGACCTGGGACCTGGCTGAGTATCTTAGTTAGGGTATCTATTGGTATGAAGACTATGACCACACCGTTCTTATAAAGAAAAGCATTTGATTGAGGTAGCAGCTTACCGTTCAGAGGTTCAGTCCATGATCATCAGGACAGGAAGCACAGTGGCCTGCAGGCAGACATGATGCTGGCTACATCTTGATCATAGAAAATCTCGAAGCCTGCTCTATCAGTGACACACTTCTTCCAACAACGCCATACTCAACAAAGCTACATCTACCAATAATGCCACTCCCTATGAGCTTAGGAGGGCCAATTACATTCAAACTACCACTGGGTGTTATAGACTGCCATGGGAGAACACTGAAGGATCTCCCTTTTTTAGTTCCAAGTAGCTATCCACTTTCTGATCTTCTATGACAAGAACAAGGCTTGCTACATACTCTAGCTTCCTATCTAGATCCCGTGAGTCTGAATCCACTCACTGACTGACATGTTTTATCCATTAACATACAAGTTCTCACTTTTGGCTGAACCCGTGAATTAACATAAATGACCAATTATTTTGCTTTTTCTGTTTTGTCTATTGATATTCTCAAAATTGCTATTGAAGAACATTGTTGTTGAGAAAAGATCTTTAATATGATATGTCTGGCTATTCTGAAGTGAGATTTGAAAGAAGATGCATTAGATGCGCGATTTAAAAAATTCCCATATTGAGCAGAAAGAGTATGTGAAAGGTAGGGTTTTAGTTGGGGGGTGGTGGGGGAGCAGGGGAGGGAGAGGGAACTGGGATAGACATGTAAAACAATCTTGTTTCCAACTCAAATAAAAAAAAATGGGAAAAATTCCCATATTTATGCAGAGGAGCCAGAGTCTGTTAACAAATAAATGAGTAGTTGAGAACTAAAGATCGGTCCATGTGAAGAAAGTATCAAAAGAGAAAGATATATTGCAAAAGGGTTTATAGCACTGTTTAGGAATCAGAATTGTATATTGATTAGTGAAGATAAAAGCTACAGTTTTCTGAAAATTTAAGGGTTTATATGGAATAGGGACTGTAAAAATTTGAATGTTCATATTTTGGAAGCCATGATTAGTATACAAACAAAAAGCCAAATAACTACATGAGATGAGAAAAGTTATTGGATGTCTCTAAACTTATGAACTCAAATATAAACTTCAACTTTTCTTTTCTGCCTGGCAGAACTCTTGTAAATATTAGTTGAGTTGACATAATTGCAAAGGATTCACAATCCACAAATATAAAGGAAGCATTAAGACACTCTTACCGTCATTAGACCAGTTTCTCAACTGGGACTTAATGTGCAGGAACACTTATTACTGGGTTGATTTTCTACTATCCTTGGCTTCCTACTCCAAATAGATGACATGCTACAGCTGACTCATAAATGGCCACCAAAGGAAAAATGCACTTAATTCCATTTGTTCTTTAATTGGTCTCTACCAGCTGTTCATATCATAAGGCTTGATCACAGATCTTTAAGTTTTCATAATCCATTCTTTGAATTACTGGAATGTGTCTCTTATAGTTTAATCTTTTCCAATGCTTTCATTCCTTTGCAATTTATTATTCAGCTATTGTCACAAATAATTACATAGCAAGAGACAAGTGGATCTGTGTGAGTTATGAAGCAATAAAATGCAATAATTGGTGATAAATATGGCTTTCTTCTCTAGAATTGTGTAACTACAT